ATTTAATATCAACACTTACCCTCTTTTCTTGTCATGCTTTACCACACACAAATACCCTTCTTGTCCCCTCTGGTCCTATACGTCTTAAAGAGGGGAAGTAAGGAGAGAGGCACATGGACGAATCGCAACTGAGCAGTTTCTTGAAGATTTCTTTCCTCTACCAGGAATTGTAGTAAATAAGAAACACATAAGCGAGCTTCGTCTTAAGATTTCAGTGAATCTAAAGCACAAGTGTTCCCCTCCTTGCAACATCACAGGAAACAACCTGTTTTGATTTGAGGCGGGCTCCTCCGTCAAGTTTTTTTCCCCCCTCGCAAGCTATCACTGATTTAGCAAAAGGCAAATGTCCTCTCACAGTTTGATTGTGAGCGGATGAGCGAGGCAGAGGATTGAGAGAGAGAAGATAGTCTTCTACTCAGAAGGAGAAAGCAGCTACAAAATCAAATCCTACTCCACTCTTCTCCTCACAAGATGAATCACGGCCCTGAATTAGCTGGCGTATCGCGCTCCGTCCTAACGCTGAAGCTTCCCCCTAAACCCCCCCCTCCACCTCCACCTCCACCCTGAACGCCGTGAGCCAGGCGGCGGTGACGCGAAGGCCAGTGGCGCAGCCCCTATCACTCACCAGCACCCACTCACGCCGCCATTACCACGCCTTTATCTCATCTCCTGCAGCCTGCCACGGACAGCCGCCTCTGGGTCCTCCAGGCTACTTTACTAATAACCTGGTCCTTATCAGCCACCGTGCACCTCTGCCTGTGATCAAAGAGCCAATTAATGGAGCCGGGGAAAGGTGAAGCATTCAAATAATGGAGACAGCTGTTTTTCTCTGTTTGAGAAAATCCATTTTGTATTGTTATCAGCTTCATACAGCTCGCCCACCCTCTCTTCAAAAAACTAGCGCTTAATTCAAGTCGGCGTCTGCTTCTGCCTCGCTTGATAAGGGAAAGAGAGAGAGAGAGAAAAGGAGGTAGAGCAAAAAGAAGATGAGGATGAGAAGGGGGGGAGGAAGAAGAGCCTTGGTCACAATGAACTTTATGTAGAAGAATGTGGCAGGAATATCACAGCAGTCCAACTCATCCCGGAGCTTTATCAGCTCCAAAGTGGCTCAACACAGAGATAAGGATAGGGAGGGAGGTCATAGACGGGGCTGCGCTTCCAGAGCCGACGAGCCGCTTTGTTGCCTCGAAAAGCCAGCTGCTGATTCCAGCTCTTTGAGCTCCATTACAATCTGGTCAGGCAAAAAAAAAAAAAAAAAAAAAAAAAAGGGTTAGCCAGGAGGTTAATTGTTCTGGTCTCAGAGCGACACATAACTAGCTCCACCAAAGGCTCACATCTGCACTGTTTTGTTACCATGTGTCACGTTTTAATTTTAACTGTCGTTTTGGTCAATTTATTTAAGAAACTGAACTTGTTTTTCAGAATGCTTTAGTAAGCACAAAAGATTTCAGTTCATTTTCAAACTGTACAGTCAATGTGCTGTACAATTACAAGGTCAGGGCTCCCTTTGCAAGACCCTGTGCATTCAGATGGTTAGGTGACTACACAGGTGTGTACGACAGAAGACACACTGCAAAGGTTAAGAACATCAAATCTTTGACGGCTGTTTAATTCACACTTTTTAAAAAAATATTTTATCTTGTTTTGTTGATTTAAAGGGATAATTTAGATATATTGGAATTACAACTACATAAAAAAGTCAGTATCTTACCTGTATCAAACAGTCCAGTTCAGTTAAACTGATTATTTTGTATTGCAGAGTTAACGGCTAAGAGATAGAGCGAATGCTACTGCAACGTTAAGATACCGAAAGCTGATAATCTATCCGTAGAACCATGCTTATAAAAATATTAGTAAGTATTTTTAACGCTAGACATTTAAATGTTTTCATGCTTTTTTGATTGTGTTAATATCATCAGAGCAAAATGCAAAGAACACAAAGAAGTCTCAAGTCTATGGGCAAGAATGAACATATTTATTACACTGTAAAGAGAACAACAATACCAGAATTATACTGCAAAGTTTCACAGACTGACAGACCATAGTTTACAGCCCAAAAAAATGAAAAGAATCAAAATTGATAAATCAAAAGAATGAAATCAACAAGAAACCACAGTTCTGACATAGTAGACTGGAAAGCTCTCTAGAAGACACTGACTCTAAGTGGTTCAGAAACCACCATGTGTCAGCCTACCACTAACCTGTGGTTTTTATATCTTAATAAAGTATTGCACAACAACTTCAAATTATTTGAACTTTTTTTTTTTTTTTTTTCCTTTTTACATTTTGCCAACAGACCAGGAAAACCCTCCCCGTCCCCTTGAAGTTCAACTCATTGCTTCTGGTTAATGCTACGCAGCCCCTGCATCGTTTCCGTATTTCCTAGGAAGTTTAAATAATAGGCAAGTCCAAATCAATGGCGTTCATTTTTATATTTTAGTTTTGATTTATTAATTTTTCCTTTTTTTTTTTTCCACAAGATTTGCCTTTTTGTGTATATTCCCCGGCTGACAGGTTCGACTAGCACATCTGCATGTCTTCACAACAGACAAAAGGAGAAAAGAGGGATGAAAAGAAGAACAAGAGAGACATTTCTCCTCTGTGATCTTACTTTATATATCATAAACATAAGAAACAACAATTTTCTTTAAAATTTGCACACACTTTTAGATTTGTTCAAACATTTCAAACTCTTGGTGTACTCAAAGGTTTAAAGGAACATAACAAAAGCTTTTTTTTTCCTTTTTTTTTCTTATTTCTATTCATTTATGTTTCATTTATTTATGAGGTCTGCATTGTTACCAAGTAGTGATATGGTTTTGCAGCTGTATGAGCTTCGACTTTGGATTTTTATTTTTCCTGTTCTCTTGTGTCCATTTGGTTTAGACTAGACCAGTATCAGTGCCACAACTGATGCTCTTATCGTGCTCTAAGAGGTAGAGTGAGACAAACTTGTTTGCCACATAGAAATTTGTAGCAAAGCACAGCTAGAGAAGGGAATACAGGTAAAATAGAGCTTCTCAAAGAATTGTTGACTACTAGTTTATTTTCTTTTTTTTATTTCTTTGTCTTTTAACTCAGATTTTTTGCCCTGATAGAAGAATGAAGATATTCGTCATTTGTTGTAATGTTTTCCAACAGCTTGGCTGTCTTGTCGCAGCTTCTGAGAAGTCGGGACTTGGACACCTTTTTGGACTACGTGACCCTTCAAATTCAAGAGTGCAGGTGTTAAATTTTGACAATGAGGAAAGAAACAAGAAACTCTGGAGGGAGCAAAGTGCCCCAAAACATTTGTGTGGGCTTCCACTTGTTTCTTGAGGTCAGAATTTTTTTTTTTTTGTAACACGCTTCTGTATAGCACCAAGGTGTTTTGGGGTGAAGAACCTTTGAGTATGTCAGGGTAAGTGCTCTTCTAATGCAAATGGGAGGTTTGTTTTACTTATATTGAACATTTACAACAAAGTGTCATCGTTTTAATCCTGTATTTGAAATAAACTACTTGGGGAGGAAAATGCAAATGATGGTGGTCTAAAAGTCCAGCTTTACGTTCACATTGTGAAAACTTAAAAATTAAAGCCGACAAGGACACTAGATCTAGAGATGCACCGAGAAACTGTCAGACCATCAACTCAGTAGGTCCTGATGGGTAAATTTCAAAATTATGATATCTTTCCTGATCCCTGAATGCACCAAATATAAGTACCGTATTTTTCGGACTATAAGCCGCTCATTTTGTCCCACCCCTTGAACCATGCGGCTTACAGCCAGGTGCGGCTTTTCTGTGGATTTTTCTTCAACCACCAGGGGGGGCTCTTTAGCAGGAAGTGAATCATTGGAAGTTAAAATTAGAAATCAAAGAAGAAAGTGCTGATTTTCATTTAAAACAAACACAAACTAATAGCAGGCACGATGGAGAAATGTTTTCAAACTCATATGATGCAACTTTTAAGTTGAGGGCCATCGATCTGGCAGTACAGGATGGAAATGAAGCCACTGCACGTCAGCTCAGCGTGGCTGTGGAGATGGAGGGCTGCGTCCTTAATAAATCCAGCAGATTCATTAGGATTCATACTTCTGCTGCCCTCTGCTGGGTCCTTATGGAAAACTGAGTGTGGCGCAAATACCAGAGGCTTCTAGCCCGGTGCAGCTTATATATGTACGTTTCCATTTTTTCCCCAAAAAATTTGTAGGTGTGGCTTATAGTATGGTGAGCTCTATAGTCCGGAAAATACAGTGCTATCTGGTGGTGCAGACAGTGGAGATATTACTGAGAAAAAGAAGACTCAAAAATACTTATTTTCTACAACTGGTAAGGTTTATATGCAAGTCATTCAGGCTTCAGGAGAGTAGAATGTTCAGCAGATAACAGGAAGGCTCAGAAATAATCTTTTTCAGCTTTCAACCTCTGTCTGTATTGGAAGATGCTGGATTTGGAAAGTCATTTCAAAAAGTTAGTTTATATTTAGCACTATATAAGTTGTGGAAGATAACTTAAATGTGAAATGTGTAGCCACTTAATTTTTGCTTTACTATTCAGAGACAACATTGATATTGCCTTAAATAAATTATTAATGGCTTGAGACAGTAAGTCTAGACAACATCTTAAATGTTGCCTATACTGTAGTTATTAAAGAGAGACTGGAATTGGCTAAAATTAATATTTGTACAACAAAGCTGGGAGAGACTGGGGAAATTGGCCACTCTGGTCGGTGCATCTCTAACATGAAGTGAAAGATTAACCTCGATTCTTCAACAAAATGTTTACCATGTCACATTCTGTATTATTGCTCCTGGTGAAATGTAATAGTTTTTGTTGTATTTCCTCCTTTTTTCTCCCATTATGGGTACAGTTGAGATTCACAAAGGCTTAAAAAAAATTAATTTGTGATATTGAAATAACACGTAAGTGGACAAACCTCCTTTTAAAACATGTTTACATCAGGATTTTGGTCCTTGGTTTCAGTCTTTGGCTGTTTTTGGTGTTTCATGTTGAACTTGTGTAGTAATACTGTGTGTGTGTGTGTGTATGTGTGTGCATGTGTGTGTGTGTGTGAGAGACCTGGTGCTTTGCAGTGTTAAAGCTGTCAATCGAAGTCTACACCTCTGCATTTGGAAAATCACTTTGTTAGAGTACTTTTTTTGTGTATTTTGTCTTTTTTTGGGTTGTTTTGCATTTTTTCTAAAAAACAAATATTTAACAAATCTTCAGTAATGTACATGCACAGCGTGTAGCTATTTAAATAAAAACATTTTGGGTGCTATTCTTAGAATGTTAAATAGGGAAAAAAATGAATTTGATGTGTTTATGTGTTAAAACTGCATCAATTCAACATAATATAAAAAGAGTGACAATGCTGATACAGATTACAAAATTTCTGAGGAATTATGGCTCCAACATGTCGAAAAGAAGCATGCCAAAATAATTTCCATGACAGTGCAAATACATATATGTACAGTGCCGTGAAAAGGTGCTTGTCCTATGACAGATTTCTCCTGTTTTTGCTTTTTTGTTTCCTAAATATTTTAGATCACGATCAGACAATGATATCCTGAGTAAATACAAAAATTCAATTTTTTAAAAATCTGAATTCAATCTCTTTAGCCAGGGATGATTTCTGCCAGACAGGGAATCACTTAAATAGCACCTGTCTGACAACATGAAGTAGGCTAAAAAATCTCAAAAAGCAATCCATTCTGATCTTAACATTTAGGTGTAACAAAAAAAAACAAAAACTAAAACATTGAAGAAATCTGAAAGGGGCAAATACATTTTCCAAGCATTGTATGTCCCTTGTACAAAACATTTAGCTTAGCATTCCACGCAACATGCTAGTTCTCAGACAAGATCTGGGTCAAAATTAAGTAGCAGCTCTGAGATATAATATTGTGTCTTTTCTTGGGGTGAGGGGGAAAAAAATTAATGAAGCTACAAAGAGTCTACCATCTACACACAGAATAGAAAAGCAGCTTAAAAAAGGTAACACTTCTCTTTTTTTTATCTCTTTTTGCTCTAGCTAGAGATGGAATTATGACGTGTTTGAACTGTGACTTTTTTTTCCCCAGGTACTATGCATTGTCACAAGTGTCCAACACATATTCAATAAATAACCATTAGTGACGTGTCCAGGACGGGAAGCTTAACAGCGTGACATCTACAGGAAATGAATAAAAAGCATGGAGAAAAGTTGAGAGAGGAGGAGCGTGTCTGCGCACTGTTGGGTTTCCAGGTCTGAGCCGCCCAGCGGCTGCCATCGAAGATGTCTGACAGTCTCGCAGGTGAGATGATAACCTCATTTTCTGGTTGTTAAAGAGCTTTTGTAACCGGGCGTGCGTGCACGCGCGGCGTTTCGCCGTGCGTCCTGTGTGAGTGTGTGCGCGCGCGCGCTGTGGGCAAAGTTTTTGCATTCTGTCCAAGAAGTCTTCCTTTTGCGTCCTTCGGGGGGACTCGGATTCGGATTTCACAGCCCACTGACCTGGATATTACGACAAGTGAGAGGGAAATAATGCCGCCTGAACAGCTGGCTCGACTTGCAATCTGCTGCACATCTGCCCATTTCTTGGCGGCTGGGTCTGCAAGCCAGAGGTTCAGTCCATCCCTTATTTATTCATCAGCCTGTATTAAAATCTAATCTCTTCATTTGCAGTGAGCATTGACCACTTCGGTCAATCTGCTCTGTATGTAAAGTTAACTTAGGTGTAAGGTCTGGAACCAAGAGGAAATAAAGCTTAACTGAAGCATTAAAAATAAAACCTTTGTAAAGGGGAGGCCTCGAGTTCCTCCTACCAGTCTTTTCATATTTACAAGGGAAAGTAAGACGAGCTACAATGACGACATTGACAACGACAGGTACAACGACAAACAACAAGAGTAAAGAAGTGTAGCGATAAAAGGATGTTAATTTTAAATTCATTCATTCAAAACAAAGAATATCTTTGTGTTTCCTTAAAGTCATGGCAAGTCAATATGACCTGATTATGGACCTCGTCTTCCTCCTCCTTCAACCACGTTGCAAGTCAGACAGAAGCGCCGCCGTCCGTGTCCGCGAGCCGCGTTTTCTCGGAATCTTTGCAAGGCAATGTCAAGATGAGGACAAGTCATGCTGTTTGTGGGTTTTAGGAACCGACTGAAGAACACGGGAAGCTTTCCTAGCGAGGCGTGCCGTCGAGGGCGGAGGAGGACGGGGTGCTGGGGGTGGACGAGCGCGGGGTGGCGGCAGGCGGGGTCACAGCCGGACTTCCGGTGCCGCTGCTCGGAGTGCAGGCTGACGAGCTGATGGGAGCGGGAGTCTCTGAGCCCGGAGCTCCTCCTTGCTGCTGGCTGGACTGCTGCTGCTGCTGCTGCTGGGCCTGGAGGGTCTGACCGCAGACATGGTGGTGCTTCTCCCAGTCCTTGTGCTGGCAGAAGGAGCCGCAGTAACGCGCCGTGTTGCAGCCGCTGCACGTCTCGCTGGCCTTACGACCACAGTTCCAGCAGCTCTGATGGACATACGGAGAAGGAAAAAAAAAAAAAAACATATTAGTGAAACTGTAGGTTCATAATTACTCAGATATTTGTGTGTTTGTGCTGATGAACTTCTGAATACTACAGCAAATATATCTGGTTACTGTGTTGAACAGCTGTAATCTACCACAGCGATCACTTATTAATAATCGCTAAATAAACATTAAGCCCATTGTAGATCAAGCATAGAAGGGCTAGATTGGTCTAGTCAAAGTCCAGACCTATATCCATTGGAGATTTGTGGCAAGACTTGGAAGCTGATGTTCAGAGAAACCATTCATCCAGTCTAAGTGGTCTTAATCCATTCTGCAGCACTAATAAAGTATAAACTCAGAGTGGGTCACACATCAGCTTTCCATTTGAAAACACAACATGAGCAAACACAAAAGTGAGATTTGGGAAAGCAAAATTACAATAAAAACACATAAACTGTGGTTTGTGAAACTCTATATAAAATGAAACATGCCTGTGCGCTTATATGTACAAGACAGCAAAAGTAGATCTAGAAGTCTTTTCTTTCGACACAAAGACCTCCTAGATGTCTTAGAAGCATTTCAGGGTTGCTGTACATCCACAGGAAATGGGAGAGCAGAGTTACACGCAACCTCTAAAAGTTCTCCCCCGAGACGCTTCTCTTTCACAAGCATCACTCCACCAATTAATGTCAGACGTGAGCCATATTTCCCTCTCACTTAACTGATTAAAACCTCAAGGTCTCCAGTGGTCATTAGCAAAGGAGGGCCGCTTTCCTTACTCCCTCTCAGCTGAATTAGAAACAACGTCCTTTGCATTCTGGCGTGAAACAAAGAAGACGGAGGGAAATTAAAACAGCCGATGCCTGTATGTTACTCTCCTGCTATATCCTGAACATTTAAAGCTGGGCATATTTGACCTTTGCAAAAGATGTTTCATCAGATTCTCCTAAAGGAATCATGCAGATTTCCCCCCCGCCGTATATAAGAAAGTCCTATCAGCCGTCTTATTTGAAAGCCTCTGGAGCAGAAATGCATCGAGACAGAATTCGACGCCGTATCCAGGGTTACAGGTACCTCGCTGGAGTCCTCCTGCTGGTTGATGATGGAGAGCGCGTCCTCGGCCGCCTGACGTTTGGCCTCAGCTACCGTGCGCTCCATCTTCGCCCGCTCGCTGCTGATCATCTCGTGAGCCTTTCGCTCGGCCTCCGACACGGCCTTCTGCAGCTCAGACATGGCCTGTCGCTTGACCTCGTTCACCGCCTCTTCTGGAAGGAGTTTGGAAACAAGTGAGTTTCGTGCGTTTCTTTGGATTTTTTTTTTTTTTTTTTTCTTTAAAAATGAATGTGTCAGCTAACACAAGTTCAAATTTTATGATGTTATCTACGAAATGTTTACTCTTGTCGATCTAGAAGTCACCTGGAGGAGAGAATGCCATTCAGTGTTCATTCAGAAATACGTGTAAGAAAAGCCTTGAAATGTAGAATTAAAATTTTTGCAGCACTATTAAAAAAAAACAAACCCAAACAAAGTCCTAAAAATTAGACACCTGTATCATTTTGTATTTTGTTTTAGTGTGTAGTTTTGAAGTATTTTTAAACCTCGTACATCCTACTGTAAAAATGTAAATGTGTGGAGTTTGGTAAACTTCACTGAGACTCTGGAAAAATGTGTTTCACCAGATATTTGGAAAACGACAGAGGAACTATGATGCCTGTTTCTCATCACAAGGTGGTAACTTTGCTTAGAGTCCAAGAGATCGTTACAAATAAAAATGGAAAATAGATCTAGAAGGACAACAATCCCAAAAGTATGACCAAATCAATGCAGTAGCCAAGCTTAGTCAAATTAAAGAATGTTTTTTTTTTTGTTTTCTCTAAAAGGTTCATCTATTTTGTGAGTTTTATACATCTTTACTGACAGCACCAAATATATGTTGAATAAATAAGCAGATTTTCTTGCATCACACTCTATAGCCTCTAAATGTCAATGTTTTATGGTAAAGTTGACGATAGATATCTTATTTAGGAAGCAAACTAAACATGCATCTTTTATGTTTAGGTGAAACCCCCCCCCCAAAAAACATACAAAAGAACAAGTCATTTCATTCCAGATAATAACACAGCGCTTTCAGGCTTTCCCAGTGTGTTATTTTACATTTGTTTAGAGCAAAGAATGACCTTGAGTGTGGATATTAAACGACAGAACCCTGTCAAAGCAAAAGGAGGGCTTTTTGTGTTTGTTCCCGTCATGCCTGTAACTTGACTAATTGTGTATGCAAATCGGCCAATTTACATTTAAATTATGCATTTCCATTGTGATCCCAGAGGCCCACGCGGTGAAGGGGAAGTGGGAGAAGCGGCAGGAAACCGTGCAAGGTGCTTGAATATTTATCACTAACTGTAAACATTTGCCTGTTTCAAACAGATGTATCCACGGCCGCTCGCCATTGTATTAAAAAAAAAAAAAAAAAATCTTTTTTTTTTTTTTTTGCAATTCTCTCTGGGTTACATTTATATCAGTTTCTCCTCAGAAAAAGGGTAAATGAAAAATAGCAAGCCTGTTTATATATGTGTGTATATATATATATATATATATATATATATATATACACACACATACAAACAGCTTTATATTTTATTAAATGGTTGAGTTGCCTTATTTGTACATGTTACAGATGTATCGTACGTGCAAAATGTTGTCGATGTGACACGAAATGTGTACTTTTCCATATACGTTTTTCCCAAATCTGATTGAAGAAAACATTTAAACCAGGGTGGTTTTGTCTTTAACCTACTGTGCTGACTGAAGTCATAAAAATTGCTCTGGCACCTAGAGATATAAGCCTTGTGCATTGAATCGTGATTACACGCCGAATGCCTGAGATGGAAGATCGATCAAAGCCGGAGAGGGAAAGGGAGAGTCCTGGAGAGCAGTAGGAGCTCCAGCGGTGTTACTCAATTCAATTTAAATGCATATTACTTGTTCTGAGTATCACACACATCATGCATGGTCAAGCAAGGGGGGCGATTTCTTTTCTCCAGCAACTTTAAAAGGCACATATAATCTGTCACTGACGCTGAATACCAAGTGGACTCCTTCCAGTTCTTCAAGGCAGCCATGTCGGTGAGTGTACACACTCATAAGCGTCGATTAGATACACCTTTATTACTTCTTCTTTTCTCCACAGGTTGATACAGTTTTCTACAGTTTCCATTAGGTGAAATAAGGAAAAGGTTCTTGTAACACAGTTCTTCTCCTCGTCCTGCCATTGGGGATCATTTCTGTGTCACTTTTATTAGACATAATGACGCCTTAAGCTCCTCTTTACAATGCAACTTAATGGGATTTTATAATCCCACAGACTCGTCGGCTCTTTATTAGCATCGCCAGTTCAGTTGCTCGCCATCAAATACCAATTCGACCAATCTCGTGCAAGCAACTCAAAAGACAGACATGGTCTGATAAACTGAGGAACTGCTGACCTGCTGGGATATTAATCACTACCAAAAAAAGAAGAAAAAAACAACAATCCAACACCAGTGCTTTGAACAGAGTTCAAAGTTCAGAGTTCAAAGGAGTATAAGTAGACTGTTTCAGGATGATAGAAAGACAACAGTAGCTCAAACAACAAATCATTCCCACAGCTCTGTCAAAAACTGTCTCTGAGCAAAGAACATGTTGGACCTTGAAGCAGAAAGACCACAGCAGCTGAAAACCACAAACGGTTGATATTGCGACTCACTGAGGAATCGCAAAGACTGTATCAGTTAAACAAGCAGTCAGAGTCCAAAATATACTAACCTTATAGAATCTATTTCTACACATGTTTGGCGGTAACCAGTTCCATACTAAGTATCTACCTTAGGTATTCCAAGAACTTAAAACCTAAGAGTAATAACAATAAAAAGTTGAATCGTTCCCTATTTAATGCTTCTCTGTCTGCCTAAATCTGAATGTTTTGTTCATTTTAAGAGCAAAACTTCAGAAACTGTTGTGCATGTAATCTAATGTACGTAATCTATGTATATAATGTAATCTAATCTATGTAGTTGTCTTGGTCAACCTCTATTATCACACTGGCACCAGATTTAAAACAAACAATGACTGACAATATAATATCAGATTCCCTAACCGAGACGCTGAACATCACTCTCAGTAATGGTTGAGCATTACCCTTTCTGAGTGAATACACCATTAACAAAGTGCATCCAAAACTAGGAGAAATAGGAAACTTTTAAATCAACGCGCACCATAAAGGAATTTTGCCCAACTTGCACTAAAGGGGGTACGCAACATTTCTCTTAGAGTTCTTCCAGGTCTGCACTGACATTTAAACCGGTACGTTTCGTCAACCTACACTCACTCTCCATCAAAGTGGAAAAAAAAATAAATAAATCCAGCCTTGATTTGATCAAAGTGGAGGTCTTGGAAGCAGTAAAGAGTTCAGCGTGGAAGTGGTGCTCACCAGCCTTTTTCCAGATCTCTTCTGGGACATAACCAGACACGGGCCGGTGCAGAAGCTCCCTGTGAATTTCTGCAGAGGAAACAAGGAAAATGAATCTCATACTGTGAAAAGATTGTCCAACAAACAATGTGGATTTTTTCTTTTTTTTTTTTTTTGGTGATACTTTTTACTGTTTATTTGTTGATGAAGACAACAAAGTTGACAAGTAAACCATTAAATAATTAAACTCTTAAAAAGCAAAGCAGTAATACAGTACCAAGCACATTTATTTGTATTAAAGCAACAAAAACATGCTTCGAATTTAAAGCCCACAGAATGAGATCCTTTGCAGGCTCTGTTTTGGTAAAAGCTTTGGAACCTGTGATTTGTTTTTTACCTGACGTTGCATTTTCCTGTGCTGCAGGGCTCTGCTGCCTCGACTGCCCGCTGGACGCCCCCTTCTTCAGCTCCTCGGCGTCGCTGTAACGCCTAATCCAATAGTTGAGCTCCTCGCGGTCGGCCTCCTGGCACCTCCGCAGCACCGTCAGCGAGCGCCTCGTTTTCTCCACCATGTCCATGATGCAGTTCAGCAGCTGGGCAGGACAAAAGACAAGACAAAGCGCTGGGTTAACACATAGAAACAAAGGCACGGTTCATTTAATTTCAGCTGAGATGCAATTTTGGAAAGGTGTACCGTTACGTTTTTATTGTCAACTATTTATTCATTTATTTTTTTCACTTCAGGTGGCCCGTGACGTATTTCTGTCACGGGCTTATTAAGTCATCAGTAAGTAAATAAAAAATCTGAACAGTTACTATATTTAAAATGGTGATACGCAAGTCGAAAGCTTCTACAAGAATTACAGTGCCTTTCAAACGTTATATTTTCACAATTTTGCCATGTTAAGAACAAAAAAGATCAATATATGTTCTAGATTTGAACTCAACTCAGTTGAATATGTAATATCAAGACACTTTACAAAAACAAGTCATTTCAATCCATTCAGGCTTACATTCCACTTGATCGTGGTTATCAAAATGTGTGGAAAAATCAGTTCGTTATTCAAATGAATTCAAAACATTTTCTACCTAATTAGAATCTATCAAGTCATTGAAGCAGAAATCCCTCGTGCTAAGCATGCATGTCGTGACAGTGGAGAGGAAAAGCTTCCCTTTAACAGGAAGAAACCTCCAGCAGAACCTGGATAAAAAGAACACAAACATAGGGGATATTTCTAAAAGAGAACTGAAGGGTCCATGAAGAACTGATTGTTTACTATCAGAGTTTTGAAGACTGTGGTTTGGATTCTTTTGTGCTGTATTCAGATTCTAGCAGCTTTTTAAAGGTAGAGACTGAAATGTTTGTCCATTTAGCTTCTCATAATAACCCGGGCTCAGTCAGCTGGATGGAGAACATTTATGAACACTAAGTTCATAAATGCCACAGATTCTCAGTTGGATTCATGTCTGGACCTCGACTGGACTCTCAGCACATCAGCATATCTGGATCGAAATCTTTCCATTGCCCATCCGACGTTGTGTGCTTACGCTCGATGTCCTGCTGGACGGTGCTGCGTCCTCTGACAGGCTGCCTTCAAGAACTGAAATTAGTCCCGTTCTTCTCCCCCATCACCTCTAATCAGCTTCCCCGCTGAAATGAAAACGAAACCCCACGACTCCCTACGGCCACCACGGTGTTGTGTATTCAGGTTGACATTCGCTGCTGGTTTTCAACCTCAGCTTTTCGCATGTTGGTCAAATGTACCGTGTTGGTCTCCTCTGATCAGAGCACTGACTTTCACATGTTTGCTGGGCCCCTGCATGGCTTGCAGCAAACTGCCACTTTCTTTATACCACACTTTGATTCAGACCAGATGTGTGGAGTGGACGACTAGTAGTGGTCCCGTTGCAAGCCTCTCCCTCCCGAGAAGGGGATATCTGCAACTCTGTCAGAGTTTCCGCTTCTGTCCTGATTAATGCTCTCCTCACCTGGCCTGTCAGTTTAGATGTACGGCCACGTCTTGGTAGGACTACGCAGCGCCTCACGAGATGTCCAAAACTCGAGATATTGCTCTATAATCTATTTCATAAGGTGTAACAAGCGATGAAATTACACGTAATCACTATTTACTGTCTATACAGCCTGATTTCATGTGACAAACCCAGTTTGTCATATGAAATATGTCGTAATAATGTGACAAAAATGTGAAAAAGCATATTGAGTATCAACCCCTCATGCAAAACATTAGATTAACAACGAGGAGTGTCAGCATATTTTCAGTCTTTTCATTTTGTGCTGGTTTCACTTCTAGAAAATAAACAAATGCCATAAAATATAAACGACGCACAATATCTGCAAGCTGCAAAAATGTAATGCGAGTCTGAACATACCTGCAAAATCAATAATTTATGTTACTGATAGCAAATAAAAAATAAAGATTCCTAACTCCTATCTTCAGCAGACGACATTATTAACCTACATTTTTTTTTAACTTGGTAATATATATATTTTTCTTACGAATAAACAAGGCACAACAAACACATTAATAATAATAATAATAATAATAATAATAATAATAATAATAATAATAATAATAATAATAACACAGCTCTCTGATCCGCAGTCCAGTGGGATAAATGTTTTACTACAACACGACAAACACTATCAAATGTTACTTACAAAGAAAGAATAGTAATAAAAATGTTATTACTTTTCTTACATGGTCAAGGTGCTTCCACTCCTCAGCCCATTCTCTGTCTGTCAGTCTGTGGTCGATCACCTCTTCCTGCCTGCTCCCTGCATGCATACCTGCAGTAACAAAAAAAAAAGTAAAAAAACAAAAAAACAAATGGAAACAGAGAAAAAGAGTCACTACAACTAAGAGCAACAATTGATGTAACATTACTTTGTCATTCTCCTTCTATCATTTCTCCATTTTTCCATTTTGTCCCTCTTTTATGTCCCCCCTCTCTGCATCCATTTTTCCTCCCTGCCCTCCTTTCTTTGCGGTCTCCATATCTCTCCAGCACCCCGAGGGCAAATGACTGAACTTCTCGTCCAGTTAACATCCATCACCGGCTGGAGACATGGTAAATGTCTCTCCTATATTTAGAAAAGAGTCCTTTACAGCTTCATCACAACTTGGCATATGCAGAAAAAAAAAAATGTCTCTCATATTAAAACACGACGTTAAAATGTAGCAATAGTGGCTGCAGCTCTGCATTTTTGTCCTCCAGTAGACATAAACTGGGTTTTTTCTGGGAAGCAGGAATAACAGTCTTTCATCTGAGCAACAGAGGCAGTTTTAACACTGAGGCCAGTTGTAGCCCTTCATTAAACAGTAACATGATCTCTCTGACCACACGACTAAAAGCATGCGATTCTGACGAATGAAGTCTAAATAGTGCAAAAATACCAAGAAGCCACAAGCAGGACTTAAAGAGGAAGCGTAATCTGAACGCTGAAGACAATTTTACGTCCACTCTTCTGCTGTTGTTGCTAGAGATGCGTCAAAATGCTTAAAATCACGTGTAATTTCTTTTGCAATCGCAGGTAAAAACACGGCTAAGAAAGAGGATTTACTTCATGTATAAAGGCAGTAGAACAAGCTCCTTCTAGGAAATCCGCGACGACAATTCTTTTGCATAAATTACAGTTTATAAACATAAAATCCTGGACAAAAGGGCTGTTGATGTTTCCTTAGACATCTGCCAAGGTTCAGGCTTTTAAGTAATACTTTTCCCAGTTTTAGCTTGTATGCAGAAAATGTCTTTATTATGTTGTTTTTTTATTCATGTCCTACTTCTTAGTTGAAAAAGAAGTAGGACAGATGAAGCATCAGAGGTCTATCAGTCATTAACTTTCATTAAGATTTAGTCAAACCTAAACTAGTATCAAACTTCTAGAGATTTTCATTTTGTCATAAATCAGATTTAAATCAGCAGGAGGAATCTGCAGAGATGCCAAGAAACAAGCAAACAAACACAATCATTTGACTTGAGCAGAGACACGCCCCTGAGGACCAGGTTTCTCAATAAATGAACTTTGGCTTTAGTGGAATAGTATATTGAATTATCCAAATTACCTTTATTTTAATCAGGTAAAAAAAAAAAAAAACCTTTTACAAAGCTCAGTAAAAGGTTTCCTAATCAGAGAAGAAAAATGTTGCATAAATTGACATTTTTCACTTATGCAACACAAAGCACGGCATGCTTTGTGTTGCTTTGCAGAGCAACACAAAGCATGTAAGGCTGCGGGAAACTCAAAAGCACAAAAACAAGAGGTAGTTTTTTTTTTTATTATTTTGATCGGCATCCATTATTTCTTCGCGTTTATGAGGTGCCGAGTCTAAAATACTTTCAGACGTCTAAATTCAATTACAGTTTCTTTGTTCCGCGACTCGGCCAGCAGACGGGCGGGTAAAGCTGAGCCGACGGGGCACAAGAAAACAAGCGCGCCAGATGAAGACGTGGTTGAGGACAGACTTGCTCACGACTCGGGTTTACCTTTATGCAGCGACATCCACTGCAGCGACATCTGCAGTGGATGTCGCTGCAGATCAAATCCGTATGTATTCAACAAGTGGTAGCAGAAAAAAAGAACACAGTTCATTCCTGATACGGCTTAAGCTACGCAGCTTGACCTTGTGCTTTTTGGCCATTTTTTTTTTTTTATCTGTATGCAATAATTATTTCCTATGTGTTTATATGCATAGTCTCCATAAAAATGAATATGAATATGCTACTGAGCAGCAGTCGCACTCCCTATTTACAGAAATAGGGGTGTGCATGACTGCTCAGTATGCTCCCTACTGACCGCGTGCAGACGGACGCCTCTGTCTTGAGAAGCACAGGTACAAACCAGGTGTGAGGGATGATTTGTTTGTTACCAACCTGTTTGCAGATTATAAATGACATTATTTATTTACGCCTTTTGACACCAACCGTCCCGGAGAAAGGAAAACAGCGATCCAACATGCTAAATTTACGAATGTACCAGTTAATGCAATGAACTAGAATCTCTACATGATTCGACTGAATGTACTACAAATGCTCTAGATCTGTTCATAGACGGCAGTGTTGTGAAAGCCGGCCACTCGTGGTGTACCAGCATGTTGTGTCTATGATATAAAGTTATATAAACAAGGAGACAAAAACCCAAAAAAAAAAAAAATTCAGCAAACCCAAAAAACAAAAACAAAACCATCCTTACCAATAGGCCTGGCTCGCTCTCGGATTTCTCTGTGATTGGAGGCTGCGTGTCTGTACGTGTCACGGTAATGATGGGCGATGGCCATGTCGTCTAGCCTGTAGTGCTGCGGAGGAAGGGGTCCCGGGTGGGGCAGCCCGTTGGGTTGGTAGGAGAGTCCGTTGGACGGACTGAAACGCTGGGCGGGGCTCATGGTGCAGGGCCGTTTGCTCGGGTGGACGTCTGGGTGGATGGCGCCGTCTCGCTCGAAGCCGTTCTCTTTGGTTCTGAGCAGAAACGCAGAATGACGAATTACGTATTTTTTTTTTGTTTTTTTTTGCATTTGAAAAATCGTGATAACAGGACTTGATGAGAGAATGTGACACCAAATGTGTCTTCGATCTCTTGTACCAGAAAACAAAGAGATGTAACAAATCACAACACATGAGGAGAGGTGAGATAATGATACAGGTACAAATGATGTCAATATCACACCTCATTTGTAAAAAAAATAAAAATAAATAAAAAAAATATGTGGTGCAGCACCTGCTCACTAGATTTATCCTATAAAGGAGTATAACGACTGGTGCAGGCCCTGGAGCTGTCGCTCCAGTGTAAGTGCAACCTCCTACCAGATGAAGTAATTGCCACGACAGGTTGTGTTACCTGAATCGTCGAGGGGCTTCGTTCCATTGAAAACAAGTTAAATTTATACATAAACAATTAAACCTCACTCACCAAAAGTAACACATGCAGACTCACACAAGGAGTTTCAAGGGGATCAGGTGGATTTTTGTTCGCCTGTTTCAGAAGATTAATGTGGCCAGGTGTGTTTGCGCGCGCGTGTGTGTGTGAGTGCGTGCTTGCACATATGTGCCGACAGTATGTTTTTGTGTGTGTTCTCAGCTTTGTCAGTTCACAGTTAAAACCTGCCAACCTCCCCTGCTATCAAGAGTCCCCTGGTTTCCTCTCTCCCCCCTCTGTCTCGCTTCTCTTCCTTCCCATCTCTCTCTCCGATGAACAGATTGAACTTCTTAATGAGCTGTTTTTATGGGCTCCTAATGCTCATCCACAGCTCTCCATATGCTCTTTTCTTCCATCCGTCCATCTCTCCGTCTCCCTCGACTCATCCATCCACCTCCTCCCACGCGCGCGTCTCTCCCCAGCTTTCCTGCTGCAACAACGTTTGCGTCTTATAGACACCAGAGAATAAACATGCAACCTTGCGGTCACATTCATGCACAGTTTGCTCATGCGTGCCAGCACATTCTTGTTTATAGCTAAAAAAAAAAAAACGGGCATTCCGATTAGAAATGCAGCAGAGAAATCAGTTGGTGACCGTTCCCGATTGGGATCTATTTTCTAATCAGCGAGTGCATCAAATGAGTAAGTGTTCTTTCATGGAAGCGGACTCAAAATGAGTTGTTTTCTGTATCTATGAGGTGTCTGAAATGAAGCCAGAGGAGGAACAAAAGGTGTAAGCAAACCTTATTTTATTAGAAACACGTTGGCTTTTCGTTCAGCTACTTTTAATCAGAGTGAAACGTCAGCAGATGCAACTGCGGTGGAGATTCTCTTACCTTCTTCAACAGTTCAATTTTGTCACTGAACATGCTGGATTTGTCAAGGATGGGAATCCTCTGGACACTTCCCAGTTGAGATAAGGGTCTAACTTAAAGTTCAGCTCCAGGACGGCCAGTGAAGACGCGTTCCTGGTTGAATATCACTTGAATCGCTGAATCAAATGACTGAATCACTAATTGACTGCAGCCTTCAGTCAAGTTCTGCACAGTGATTCAGGCGCGTTAAGGCTAATGCTAACTAAAACTAACGTGGGCGTGGCCAATTAGTGCTTGTTTTGACACATCAGAAATCTCGTTTTACAGCAGAGCTGTGGAACAACAACAGTTCTCACGTTGAGATTTTACCTTTGGTACTCATCGAAATAACTAATAACTGTTCACTACACGAGGCTGCTTAGCATTCCCATATAGTTACACTCGAATATGGTGCTCTGGAGCAAAACATGCAGGACTCTGATCTTACTCTACTAGCAAAAGTGTGAGGCCATTCAATGTGGTGTGCTTTTACACTCGGACGTGTTCAAAAACAGAACAACATGTCTAATGGTTGGAAGTTGGATTGATGTTTATATGCAATTGTTTCCCGTAATCTGGGAGCATCGATGTTTTCAGATTTTCAGTTGTAGTTCTGTAATGTTAGGCTATTCTTCGTTTTATTTTAATACACTAACAAAATATAACTTATTTAATTAAGATGGTTTTCCTTGCAATTCATTCAGAAAGTAAAAACTATATTTTGTTGCATCGAAATGGCGGGCATAGTGTACAGGAACATCTGTGCAGAATATGGACTGGAAGCCCCGAGGTCAAAGTGGGGGACACCCCCAAAGGTGGTGGAGAATGACCGAGCTAAGATCCTGTGGGACTTCCAGATCCAGACAGACAAGATGGCGAACCAACCGGACATTGTGGTGGTGGATAAAGAACAGAGGAAAGCCGTTGTGGTGGATGTAGCAAGTGACTACAACATCAGGAAAAAGGAGCATGAGAAACTGGAGAAATACCAGGGCCTCAGAGAGGAACTGGAGAAGGCCTGGAAGGTGAAGACCACAGTGGTGCCTGTGGTCATCGGGGCCCTCGGGGCAGTCACCCCCAAACTGGAGCAGTGGCTCAAACAGATCCCAGGAACAACATCAGACATCTCAGTCCAGAAATGTGCAGTTCTAGGCACAGCCAAGATACTGGAGGAACCCTCAAGCTCCCAGGCCTCTGGTAGAGGACCCGAGCTCAGAGGATGAAAGAGACCACCCATGGAGGGTGAGAGGGGAATTTTTTTTTATTTTTTTTATTTTTTATATTGAATAGAAAAAAAAATCTAAATTATACAAATAGGCATCAGTTTTCAGTAATTATTCAGATTTGCTCTTTGGTTAAACTTAAACTGACCAGCAAGGTTTTTCTGTAATTTGTCACTAAAATAATGTAAAAAAGGATGAAAAAAAAGATCATTTCTGAGGTTTTACTGGGAAAGTTTCTTGTGCAGTTTTAAAAATAACAAAACACTCTGCTTCCCCCCTGAACGGACAGTATGCAGCCACACTCTCTCTGGCAAGTATCACAGCTTGTAACAAGTTTTTTTTTTTTTTTTTTTTCTAGCAGCTAGAAGTCCCTCAGTTCTCGTTTGGGGGATTTTTACTTGTTCTTCCAGAAAAAAAACACAAAAAGCCTTTGAGCCTCTGCGAGGTTCTTTTGCCAGCCCGTGTGCTCGGCTCCTGTGAGGGTTGTCCAAAGATTCCTGATGATGATTAAATTAAAAGCCTTCGAGGGGCAGGGAAAACCTTCACCTTACATGACGACGGCGCGAAGGTCGGAATATTGGTGTGAGAGGAATCCTCTTTATGTCTGCGGCCGCTTGTTTGTGCCAACAGTGTGATGTGCGCTTCCAGAACTTGCATCTATTAACGTTCCAACAAGTAGAGACTGTTTACTGCCACTAGTTTAAAGCATCATCCACCCATCCGCAATATTTAACAGTAAGTAGAAGATATTTTCTTTCAACGTTTTGCACGCTATTTTCTCTTGAGTATGACTCTGCTCATTCAGAATAAAATACACTCAGCCCACAGTATGTTCTACCATTTTACAAACCATTTTATAGCTTTTAGCTTGCACAATTGCAATACTTAATTTCATGGCGCAGACAGAGAAGACAACCTCTTCTAAAAGGTTCTCCATTAATGTGGGAATTCAATCTCAACGTTGCTTTGCTGCCTTGATTCGCCTCCAAACAATCAGTTCTCTTGTAAAGTCTTCTCGGAGGTCCAAATGTTGAGTTCAGTTCCAGCTCTGGCTGTGATTTAATAAATACACTTCCTTGCGAAGAGAGAGACCTTTGAAGGCATTTATCAGGACTCTCAGCTGTGAAAAAGTATTTTCCTTTTTACTTATTTCCTTTGTCCTTCCATTTCAGTCGCACCTCAGTGTTTTGGATAATCAAATCTATTTTAATTTTATGCAAAGAAAACTTGAGTCAATACTAAGTTCTATCCAAACATATCTTGCCAAACATAAAAATTACTCTGGGAACCTTTTGTTAAATTACAAATTACCTGTAATGCATTTAAAGATATGTTGTTTTTTATCATCTTAAGTAAAAACAGGGTCTGTCTTGACAACATGAACTTGCAACTGGTATAAAATGTTAATTTTCAATAGGCTTTTTAGAGTGATAATGACTTTGTTGTGTGTATATATTTTAATGATGTTTCTGATATCCGCATGTCGTAGCTGCTGGGTAAAAATCTTGTCCGAAATTGTAACTTTTCAGGAAAAAAAGTAAAACTTCTGTCATCTTAAAGAAAATTCACACAGTTTAGTCAAAGTTGCATGCCGCTTTTTATACATTTCAGCAGACATTCATCAATGAAACACAAATAAATGTGATGCGTAACCAATAGAGATGATTTTCACAAAAGAAAACGCACAAAAAAATAAAACTGCAGATACCAGATTTTTACCTGACGATGACACTATGATTGTAGTAATCAGCATGCATTGACAGAGCAGAGAATTGTTCGAAATTAAGGACTTTCACTGAGATTCCAATATTCTGGGAAGAGTTGTGGGAAGGCAGAGTGGAGGTAAGCAGAAACTCGAGGTGCTTAGCCAGCCATAACGGTGCTGGAGCCTCATCTGTATGTGTTATCAGCCCGTCTCCCCAGGCTCTCACACAAGACTGAACTCACACTTCCACACTGGATACACCCTCCCACACACACACACACACACACACACACACACACACACACACACACACACACAC